TCTTCACATAAGTGTTGCGTGGATCCCACAGCATCAAGAGAGTGAAATCCAATGTTCAAACACTTTAAAAGTCACTTTTGCTGCTGTTCCACTAGCCAAAGAAACAGAAAGTTCATCCTCCCCTCCAAACCCCCACTACCCTTCCCAGTCTCTGGAAACCATCCTTCTGCTCTCCATGACCATTAGTTCAATTGTCTTGATTTCTCAATCCCACAAATAAGTGAGAACATGCGATGTTTGTCTTTCTGGTCTTGGCTTATTTAACTTAACACAATAATCTCCAATTCTGTCCATGTTGTTGCAAATGACTGGATCTCATTCTTTTCATGGCTGAGTAGTACTCCATTGTGTATATGCACCACATTTTCTTTATGCATTTATCTCTTGATGGACCCTTCTAAATATCAGTTATTGCAAACAGTGCTGCAAGAAACATAGGGATGTACTGATTTCCTTGCTTTTGGATATATACCCAGCAGTGGGATTGCTGGATCATATGGTAGCTCAATTTTTAGTTTTTTTGAGGAAAGTACAAACTGTTCTCCTCAGTGGTACATCCCCACTAGCAGTGTACAAGGGTTTCCTTTTCTCTGCATCCTCATCAGCATTTGTCATGTGATGAGCCTCTTATATATTTTGGTTATTAATCCCTTGTCAGATGGGTGGTTTGCAAATATTTTCTCCCATTCAATGGGTTATGTCTTCACTTTGTTGACTCTATCTTTCAAGGTGCAGAAATTTTTATTATTTCTTTTTTGAGATGGAGTCTTGCTCTGTTGCCCAGGCTGAAGTGCAGTGGTGCAATCTGGCGCAATCTCTGCTCACTGCAAGCTCCGCCTCCCGGGTTCATGCCATTCTCCTGCCTCAGCCTCCCAAGTAGCAGGGACTAACGCACCCGCCACCATGCCCAGCTAATTTTTTGTATTTTTAGTAGAGATGGAGTTTCACCATGTCAGCCGGAATGGTCTCGATCTCCTGACCTGGTGATGCACCTGCCTCAGCCTCCCAAAGTGCTGGGATTACAGGCGTGAGCCATTGCGCTGGGCCTGCAAAAACTATTTAACTTGATGTGATCCCATTTGTCCATGTTTGCTTTGGTTGCCTGTGCTTGTGGGGTGTTGCTCAAGAAACCTTTTCCCAGACCAATGTCCTGGAGAGTTTCCTGATGTTTCTTTGTAGTAGTTTCATAGTTTGAGGTCTTAGATTAAGGCTTTAATCCATTTTGATTTGATTTTTGTATATGGTGAGAGATAAAGGTCTAGTTACATTCTTTTGCATATGGATATCCAATTTTCCCAGCATCATTTTTTAAATTTGTTTAATTTTATCAAATGCTTTTTTAGCCTCAGTTGAAATGATCATATGTTTTCTATCCTTCATCCTATTGATATGATGAATGATACTGATTGATTTGGATGTGTTGAACCATCCTTGCAACCCAGCGATAAATCCCACTTGGTCATAATGAATGATCTTTCTAATGCATTGTTGAATTTGGTTTGCTAGTATTTTGCTGAGGAATTATACATCAATATTCATCAGAGATATTGGCCTGTAGTTTTCTTTTCTTTCTTTCTTTTTTTTTTTCATGTCCCTTTGTCTGGTTTTGGTATCAGGGTAATACTGGCTTTGTAGAATGAGTTTGGAAGTATTCCCTCCTCCTCTAGTTTTTGGAATAGTTTGAGTAGCATTGGTATTAGTTCTTCCTATGTTTGGCAAAATTCAACAGTGAAGCCATCAGTTCCCAGTATTTTCTTCACTGAAAGGCTTTTTATTATGTCTCTCATCTCAGTACTTGTTATTTATCTGTTCAGCTTTTGGATTTCTTCTTGGATCAATCTTGGTAGGTTGCATGTATCTATGAATTTGTCCATTTCTTCTAGATTTTCCAATGTATAGGTATATAGTTGTTCATAGTAGACACTAATGATCCTTTGAATTTCTGCAGTATCAGTTGTAATGTCACCTTTTCCATTTCTAATTTTATTTGGATCTTCTCTCTTTTTTTTCTTAGTCTAGCTAAAAGTTTTTCAATTTTGTTTAACTTTTCAAAGAATCAACTTGTTGTTTCATTGATCTTTCATTCTTTTAATTTCATTTATTTCTGCTCTGATCTTTATTATTTCTTCGACTAATTTTAGGTTTGGTTTGCTCTTGTTTTAGTAGTTCTTTAAAATGCATTGTTAGATTGTTTATTAGAAATTTTTCCTCTTTTTAAAATTTTTAAATTTTACTTTAAGATCTGGGATACATGTGCAGAACGTGCAGGTTTGTTACATAGGTACACATGTGCCATGGTGGTTTGCTGCACCTATCAACCCATCATCTAGGTTTTAAGCCCCACATACATTAGATATTTGTCCTAATTCTCTCACTCCCCTTGCCCCCAAGCCCCTGACAGGCCCCCGTGTGTGATGTTCCCTCCATGTGTCCATGTGTTCTCATTATTAAACTCCCACCTATAAGTGAGAACATGCAGTGTTTGGTTTTCTGTTCCTGTGATAGTTTGCTGACAATGATGGTTTCCAGCTTCATCCATGTCCCTGCAAAAGAAATAAACTCATTCTTTTTATGGCTGCAGAGTATTCCATGATGTATATGTGTCACATTTTCTTTATCCAGTCTATCATTGATGGACATTTGGGTTGGTTCCAAGTCTTTGCTATTGTGAATAGTGCTGCAATAAACATACGTGTGCATGTGTCCTTATAGTAGCATGATTTATAATCCTTTGGGTATGTACCCAGTAATGGGATTGCTGGGTCAAAAGGTATTTTGAATTCTAGATCCTTGAGGAATTGCCACACTGTCTTCCACAATGGTTGAATTAATTTGCACTCCCATCAACAGTATAGAGGCGTTCCTATTTCTCCACAGCCTTGCCAGCATCTGTTGTTTCCTGACTTTTTAATAATTGTCATTATAACTGGCGTGAAATGGTATCTCATTGTGGTTTTGATTTGCATTTCTCTAAGGACTAGTGATGATGAGCTTTTTTTCATGTTTCTTGACCACATAAATGTCTTATTTTGAGAAGTGTCTGTTCATATACTTTGTCCACTTTTTGATTTTTTTTCCTTGTAAATTTATTTAAGTTTCTTGTAGATTCTAGATATTAGCCCTTTGTCAGATGGATAGATTGCAAAAATTTTCTCCTATTCCATAGGTTGCCTGTTCACTCTTTTTTGATGTAGGCACTTATAGCTATAAACTTCCCTCTTAGTACTGCTTTCATTGTATCCCATAGATTTTGGTATGTTGTATTTCCATTATCATTTGTTTCAAGAAAATTTTCAATTTCATTCTTAATTTCTTCACTGACCCACTGGTCATTCAGGATCATGTTGTTTAATTTCTATGCATTTGTATAGTTTCCAAAATTCTTCTTGTTATTAATTTGTAGTTTTATTCCATTGTCATCAGAGAAGATGCTTGATTTTCTGTCAGTTTTTTGAATGTTTTAAGACCTGTTTTGTGACCTAACATTTGGTCTATCCTTGAGGATGATCCATGTGCTGAGGAGAAGAATATGTATTCTGCAGCTCTTGGATGAAATGTTCTGTGAATATCTATTAGATCCATTTGGTCTATAGTGCAGATTCAATCTGATTTTGTTTTGTTAACTTTCTGTCTGGAAGACATTTCTAATGCTGAAAATGGGGTGTTGAAGTCTCCAGATAATATTGTACTGGGGCCCATTTGCCTCTTTAGCTCTAATAATTGCTTTATATCCCTGCCACTTACCACTCTGTGAAAAAAAAATAAAATAAAAAGAAAAAGAATTTGCTTTGTATACCTGGGTGCTCCAGTGCTGGGTGCATATATGTTTAAAATTGTTATATCCTCTTGCTGAATTGACCCCTTATTTATTATGTGCTGACCTTGTTTGTCTCTTCTTATAGTTTCTGTGTTGAAACCTATTTTGTCTGATGTAAGTGTAGCAACTCATGTTCTTTTTTGGTTTCCATTGGCACGAATATCTTTTCCTGTCTTTTTATTTTCATTCTATGTCTGTCTTTATAGTTGAATTGTGTTTCTTGTAAACAATGGATCAGTGGATCTAGTATTTTTCATCCATTCAGCCAGTCTGTATCTTTTGATTGGAGAGTTTAATCTATTTGCATTCAATGTTATTACTGATAAGTAAGGAGGACTTACTGTTGACATTTTATTATTTGTTTTCTAGTTGTTTTGTGGTCTCTTCTTCTTTCTTTCATTCCTGTCTTTCTCTAGTGAAGTTGAGTTTTTCCTTTGGTGATTATTTAGTTTCTCATTTTTTATTTTTTGTGTATGCATTGTATGTTTTTTGATTTGAGGTTACCATGAGGCTTGCAAATACTGTCTTATAACATATTATATTAACCTGATAATAACACTATTTTGCATAAACAAACAAAGAAGCAAAAAGAAAACTAGTACAAACTCTATACCTTAATTTCATCCTCCCACTTTTTAACTTTTTGTTGTTTCCATTTATATCTTATTGTACTGAGTATGTAATATACTTAATATAATCTTTGCTATTTAATACTGTCTTGGCATTTTTAAGCAATTAGACATAGGAAGAGCTTACTGGAAAAAGAAGAAATTAGAACATGTGTTATAATATGTTGTGAAAAAGGATGTTTCTAACACAGTATATAGCATTTTAATGGTGATCCTGTCATTGAGGATTTTCCCACTTTCTCCACATATTGTTTTTCAGTCTAGGATTATATTTATAATAGAAATGAGAATTGCTTGAAATATCACATTTTAGAAATTCAGTATTCAATTTTCATAAAAAAGAAATAATACTGAAAATTGAATGTATTAAACATTGCTTAAAATCATGTTATATATTTTTATTAAATCATTATTTGCATATTATTACTGATTTCCTGGATTTCAACTGGAGTGGATTCCTATAGCTACTTTAGAATACAGCTAATTGTAAAATAAAAGAGATGTGATATATTAATTACGTTCACTAGTTTTTACAAATCATTTATCTTTTTCAGTTTGATTACATGGGCTCTGATATAAATGCTGTAACGCAGAAGGTTATTCAGATAATTGGCCTTGTTAACACTGTAAGTTTTTAAAAGATATTATTTTAAAATATATTTTATGAAAATGATGTGTGTAATAGTTTTCTGTGCTGTTGAAGAGCTTCCATAACCAAAGTACTGTATCAAATGTGTTTTTAGAAAATGTAATATAATGTTCAAGTTTATTTACGATTTTTAATTATATTCTTCTTTTAGATGCTTACCCAGTTACAACTGACTGTCATTATATCTTCCATTGAAATCTGGTCAAATAAAAACAAAATTTCTACTACACGGCATGCTGAAGATGTATTGTTAGAATTTTTTGAATGGAAAAAGGACCATGTTAACTTTAAACCACATCAAATTGCATACTTATTTGTGTAAGTGTAGTATTCTGCATTTTATAACATTAAAGGAATAACTCAAAATGACTTGATATGTTCGTTATGAAAAATAAGCATTTATTTTATATATATCCTGTGTTCTACCCATTTAATATAGACACTATGGAATGTGAGAAATGTAAGCAAGAGTCCTTGTTCTCAAGGAGTTAATGTGAGGCAAAACTTAAAATGTTTTATTAAACAACATAAAGTTATTCATAAAAGTAAAATTCCACAAAAGGTATTGAAATAACGAAAAGTTTAATTGTGAGTGCTACAATTTATTTCATTTCCTTTGGTTTATGAACCTTTACCCCAGGTTATCATATTTCTATATTCCTGGCTCACTTCTAGGTAATTCTTATGTTTTTATTTTCTAATATAGTGAAGGGTTAAATTTTCCTACTATCTAGAATTTAATGTGCAGAAAATCTGGTCAAAAATAAGTAATAAATGAACAAGGAGGTCATAGAAATTTGAATTTTCAGGGCTATAAATATAGAGGAAACCAGAATAAAACCTATAATTATTAGTGCAATAGTATTTCCATAAATTGTTAGGCCTTATCCTAATTATATTTCTGGATATTTATCAAATTCAAAAGAGAAAAGTGTATATTGAAATATTCTTAACATTGAAACTTTGAGAGAAATGTATTTATGGCATAATTCAAAGTAGTATGGTGCTTGGGAGATAGTAATTGTTTGATAATGTTTGCTGCTATGAAACTTATCACCAATAATACCACTTTCAAATTCACTTATGGCAAAAGTTATTTTTCAGCTACAGGAAACTTCCCACCTTAATAGGAGCCACATTTCCTGGGCAAGTATGTAATAAGGATTTTGCTGCTGCAGTTGCTCTGGTAGGTAATTATCTGGTTTGCTCTCAATACTTTCATGTTTCAAATTTTCCTAAATATTTTAAAACATGCATAAATATATTACTTAGTTTCCTATAATTTTATAGCTTTTATATTACTAATTTGGAGCATAATCAAGGAGTATGTCAGGAATGAGGCTAGAATGAAGCCAGTGGAAGCATGATGCATTTCCATAAAGATCAAGAACATTTACTCCTGGTTAAGGAGTAATGTTAGATCCTCCAATCCCTTTTCTCCTGGGATGTGATTATATTTTTGTGAAATTGCTTGCTATCATCTTGCAGGTCACTCTGTGTTCATTTTTTCCCCATTTTTGTTCTCTGTGCTTCGCTTGAGATAATTTCTATTAATCTGACTTTAAATAGAATTATCTACTCTACAACAGTTTCAAATCTGCTATTAAGCCGACCAATTCAGATGGTTGAATTTTTAAATTCTAGAGTATCTACTTTATGATTTGTTAAAAAACTTTGTTAATTAATTAAATCGTAAAATCACATAATTGAGGTATAATCAACATACAAAAGCTATACTTATTTAATGTACACAACTTGCTGAGCATGGAGATAAGTATTACACTTGTGAAACCATCACCACAATAAATGCCATAAGCATATTTGTCATCTCCAAAAGACTACTTTGCTCCCTATGCTTATTATTATTAGTAGTATTTTGTCATAATAACATTTAATGGAAGTTCTATCCTCTTAGAAAATGTTTTTAAATTAATATTTTATATTTTATTTTAGATTCAGGGTATACATGCGCCTGTTTGTTACATAGATATATTATGTACTGGTAGGGATTGGGCTTATAGTGTGCCCGTCACCAAATAGTGAACATTATACCCAATAGGTACAAGTGGGTTCTCTATTCTCTTCCATTGATCTATGTGTCTATTTTTGTAATAGTACCATGCTGTTTTAGTTACTATAGCCTCATAGTATAATTTGAATTCAGACAATGAGATGCCTCTAGATTTGTTCGTTTTGCTTAGAATTGCTATGGCTATTTGTGTTCTTTTTGTTTCCATATGAATTTTAGGATTTTTTTTTTCCTAATTCTGTAAAAACTGATGTTGATAATTTGATAGGGATTGCATCAAATCTGTAGATTGCTTTGGGTAGTGTGGTCATTTTAATAATATTGATTCTTCCAATCTATGAGTATCGGATATTTTTCCATTTGTTTGTGTCATCTACAATTCTTTTCCTAGTGGTCTGGAGTTCTTGTACAGATCTTTTACCTCCTTGGTTAGATGTATTCCTAAGTATTCTGTGTGTGTGTGTGTGTGTGTGTGTTTATGTGTATGTGTTTGTGTGCCTACTATAAATGAGACTGTTTTCTCGATTTGGCTCTCAGCGTAAATAATATTGGTATATAAAAATGCCACTCATTTTTGTTCATATATTTTGTATCCTGAAACATTACTGAAATAGCTTATCAAGTCTAGGAGTCTTTTGGAGGAGTCGTTAGGGTTTTCTAGGTACATGATCATGTCATCAGTGAACAGAGATAATTTGACTTCCTCTTTTTCAATTTGGATGCCATTTCTTTCTTTCTCTTGCCTGATTGCTCTGGCTAGGACTTCCAGTACTATGTCAAATAGGAGTAGTGAGAGTGGGTATCCTTTCCTTTTTCCATTCTTAGGGGGAATGCTTTCAAGTTTTCTCCATTCAATATGATGTTGGCTGTGGGTTTGTCATATATATAATTCTTATTACTTAGAAGTATATTCCATCTATGCCTCATTTGTTGAGGGGATTTTATCATAAAGGGATGTTGGATTTTGTCAAATGCCTGTTCTGCATCTATTGAGATGATCATATGGTTTTTGTTTTTAGTTCTGTTTATATGTTGAATCATGTTTACTGATTTATGTTGAACCATCCTTGCATCCCTGGAATAATGCTCACAGATTGTGTGCTTGATCTGTGTTCTCTCCCTGGACTTGGAGCAGCAGGAATGGAGGCAGTAGTGGCAACAAGTGAAAAGGGTTCGTCAGTGACCTCTGGGAGTAGAGTAGTATATATTCTGTTGGTACATGAATGTGCCTGGCCTCCTTTGTTGATGTGGTGGTGTCAGCTGGCACTGGGCTCCTCAGCTCAGGCAGTGGGGCCAGGAGTAGCTTGGCCCCACAGGGGAGGGTATAGCAGCAGCTTGGCTCAGGGATGGCAGGCCACCAGGCAGGGATGTTTCAGTAGTGGCAAAGCATCAGGGATAGAATGGGACACCTCCAGAACAGGACACACTCCAGCAGTGGTTCTGGTTCCAAGAAGCAGAGTGGAGTAGTTGCTCAGGCCATGGGGATAGGGCACAGTGTCATATCCTTCTCATGTGGAAGCATAGCTCCTTCGGGTGGGTTCAGCACCTATGAGGACTGTAGGAATCTCCAGTGGTGAGGACTTTAGGTGTCCAAGATGGCGATGGGGGCTGCTGGGGTCCTTTTGCTTACCTTCTCCCTCAGGGAGAAGTCCCTCCTGTATCTAGACTAATCTGAGCTGGGAGACACAGTCGTGGAGGCAAAGTGTTTTCTTCTGTTCTCTGTGTGGCTGTCCTGGGTTTCTATGTGTTTTTGTTTGTTTGAGTTGGAGTCTTGCTCTGTCACCCAGGCTGGAGTGCAGTGGTGCAATCTCAGCTCATTGCAACCTCTGCCTCCCAGGTTCAAGCAATCCTCCTGCCTCAGCCTCCTGAGTATCTGGGATTACAGCCATGCACCACCACACTTGGCTAATGTTTGTATTTTTAGTAGGAACAGGGTTTCACCATGTTAGCCAGGCTGGTTTCAAACTCCTGACCTCAGGTGATTTACCCATCTTGGCATTCCAAAGTGCTGGGATTACAGGCTTGAGCCACCATGTGTAGCCCATCCTGAGTTTTTGTGCTACACAGGGCTTCTGCTCTCCTTTGATATACTTGGCACCCTTATTTAGCTATTTTCACCAAAGCGTAGTTGCTCATTCATTGTTTTGACTGTCTTTGTAGCGGGGACAAGTGGTAGGGGCTTCAGTTGGCCATCTTGCTGCTGTCACTTCCCTCCCAATATCTTTTTTTAAAAAGTTTCTTTTTAATTTCATTATGATTACTTTAAATTTGTGTTTCTTTACTGTTCTGGTTCATCCATTTTGATTTTTGTTTGTATATTTTTCAGCTTACTTTCCTCATAGGACTTTCACATGTTAAATGCTACAGAAGGCAGGGCAAATTAAGAAAACAGGTACTACACTAGGTATTTCAAAAGGATTTAGAACAGAGAATTAGTTATACAGGTATTTCACATCTGAAAAAAGTCAAAAGGGAATAATGAGTTAACAGATAATAAAATGATAGTTACCACTCCAGAACTAAGGAAAATTGGGGTTCCCAAAATTGAGGTCAGAAGAGGGAACTTCCAACTGGCATTTAGGTTTCTGGAGGAAGGAGTACTGCCTCAAGCTGCTGCTACATTGAAGGGGCATAATTACATGGGTTCTGATAGTACTGGACGAAGTTGGAGTCAGGAAACTATTGATCCTGGAGTAAACTACAAATGCTGAAATAAACTTCCACTTTAGGAGCAAAATGGTGCTGACTGGGCCATGGTGCTGAACGAAACAACTGTCCGCGGGAAAAAGAAAGCCACTTCTTTCTTCCAATTGCAGATAATTTGGTAACAAAAAAATATGAGAAATGTAGTTTGCAGAATCTTAGTCCCACAATCCTATAGCAGAGTATAGAAGGGTAGATTTGAAATTCATTTTGTTGTTTTTTATGGTGCTTGCACTCATCTGTTATATCATTTTTTCTTATGAGATTTCTTAACATATGAGGAAAAAAAGAGGATTCTAACTTTTTCGTCTAACGGATAGTAGAGGGAATAGGGATCTACCAAAGTTAGGCAAAAATGTGGCGTTTGCTACCATTTATTCCTTGCTTCTTTCCTTATAATTTCTTTTGATCCAAAGCTGGGATGGGGAAGGAGAGATTGCTTGCGTTCAAGCAGTCTGCCAGGAAGTGAAATTGCTCTTTTTTGAAGGTGTACTGAAATGTTCGATGCATTCGTTTATTGTTATGTTGGCCGTGCTGTTTTTCTACCTGTTAGTGGGTGCAGGTGAACAATAAGCAACCCAGGGCAGTATGGAGAACCAAAAATTCAGAAACATCTCCGTGGATTGTGGCCGCCTTCTCTGAACTACTCTTTACTTATCATTCCCTCACTATCATTTACTTCAGGTTCATCAGAAACCAACTACCTTTTTACATTAGAAGATCAGTTAACTTTCTTTTATGATGTTGTTGTTTTTGTATTTTGGAGATGTTCAGTGGCCCATATTATTTTGCTCTGTGGTGGAAGAATTAATTGATTTTGGTGGAAGTACTTAAATAAACAGAGTAATGTCATGTGAGTAATTAAGGCATATAACAGCTGAGTTATTCTGAATGTTTTCAATTTTACCTGCAACTTCAAAATAATTTGAAATTACTTAGAAACAGATGATAGCTGTGTTCTTTCTCCTATATCACAACACTTTAATTGTGTTCTGAATAGTCATCTGAGCAGGACTCTTAAAGGAAAACATAAGCATTGGAAATTATGTACAGGAGAACAATAATACCTATGAGGATGTATTATTTATCTATTGTGACATAGCAGATTACACTAAAATTTAGCAGACAAAAACAATGCAGTTCTGTAGGTTAGGAATCTAGGAGGAATTCAGTGGGTAGTTCAAACTCTAGATTTCCAACAAAGACAAAATCAATGTGTCAGCAAGGGCTGGAGTTATCTCAAGGTTTGACTAATGGAGGATATGCTTTCAAGCTCAGTCATGTGGCTGTTGGCAGACCTCAGAAAGTCATTTCCAAGATCACTCATGTGGGCTTCTCTACTAGTTTACCTCATGGCATTGCAGCTGGATTCCCCTAGAGTGGGCAAGAAAGAGCAAGATAGAGAATTTAAGAAGCCAGTCCTTTTATAACATATCCTGGACATGATGACTCATCACTTCTGCTATACTCAGTTAATTAAAAGCAAGTCAGTAAGTCCAGCCTATATGCAATAAAGTGGGATTCCACAAGGACATGAACACCAGGAGACAAGGATTATTGGGACCCGTTTCAGAGGATGTCTACTATAGAAGGAATGTAGAATCGACTGTTGAAGAATATTAAAGGCATTTTGTTTAAAATAATTCAAAGAAGCCATAAACTAGGGTTTTTGACTGTTCTGTTTGCTAAGATAGCTGATAATGTCATTAAGTAATAGTGTTTTGAAACTTAATATAACTATTATGTGGACTCATTCATGTTTAATAAATCTATAATCAAAAAATTTATATAATTACTATAATTGCATCCACATAGGTATCTTGATTGCATTTTAAGAATTACTTTCATATACTAACTTTTGATTCGGTAAATATTGTTGTATTTTAGAACTGATTATAATTATTAGTTGACTTTTTCTTTTTCTTATATTTAGTACACAGAGGGTTTATCCTTGGAGTCATATACTGTCGTTATTGTTCAATTGCTTGGCCTTAATCTGGGATTAACTTATGACAAAACTGACACCTGCCATTGTTCAGGAGATGTTTGCACAATGACACCAAAAGCAGTGTAAGGATTTTCTTTATTAAATAGACATGTTCTTTCTTTAATTAATTTCTTTTTTCCTTGTTTTCTTTCAAACATTTTTCTTTTTAATTTTTGTGGGTACATTGTAGGTGTACCTTTATGGGGTGCTTGAGATGTTTTGATAGAGGCATGTAATGTGAAATAAACACATCATGGAGAATGGGGTATCCATTTCCTGAAGCATTTATATCCCTTGAGTTACAAACACTCCAGTTACACTTTTTAAGTTATTTAAAAATGTATAAATAAGTTATTATTCATTGTAGTCAGCCTGTTGTGCTATCAAATAGTAGGTCTTATTAATTCTTTCTGTTTTTTTTTTTTGTACCCATTAACCATCCCCACATCTCTATAGCCCCCTACTACCCTTCTCAGCCTCTGGTAACCATCCTTCTACTCTATTTCTATGAATTCAATTGTTTTGATTTGTAGATCCCACAAATAAGTGGGAACATTTGATGTTTGTCTTTCAGTGCCTGGCTTATTTCACTTAATGTAATGATGTCCAGTTCCATCCGTGTTTTATTTTTAATTGTGGATACATAATAGCTGCACATCATAAATACATACAGCATGCATATTTATGATATAGGTGTGATATTTTAATCCAAGCATACAATGTGTAATGATCAAATCAGGGTGATTAGGATTTCCATTACTACAAGCATTTATCAATTCTTTGCATTAGGGATGCTCCAATTCCACTCTTTTAGTTATTTTGAAATATGCAATAAATTATTGTTAACTGTAGTCACCTTATTCTGCTACCGAACACTAGATCTTACTCTGTCTATGTAACTGTACTTTTCTACTCATCAACTATCCTCTTTCTACCTCCCCCTCCAACCTTCCCAGCCTCAGGTAACCACCATTCTATTCTCTATCTCCATGCATTCAACTTTTTTTAGTTCCCATATCTGAGTTAGAACATGCAATGTTGTCTTTTTGTGCCTAGCTCATTTCACTTAACATTATGTCCCAGTTTCATCCACATTGTTGAAATGAGAAGATTTCATTCCTTTTTATGGCTGAATAAAATCCTACAGTGTATATGTACAATATTTTCTTTCCAGATTCATCCACTGATGGACACTTAGGTTGATTTTATATCTTAGTTATTATGAATAGTGCTGCAGTAAACATGGGAGTGCACATACCTCTTCAATACACTAATTTTTTTCTTTTGAATATACTTCTAGCAGTGAAATTGCTGGTTCATATGGTAGTTCTATTTTTAGTTTTTTCAGAAACATTTATACTGTTCTTCATAGTGGCTGCACTAACTTACATTCCCACCAAGAATGTATGAAGGTTCCTTTTATCTGCATCCTTACCAGCATCATTCTTGTCTGTCTTTTTGCTAAAAGTCATTTTAACTGGCGTGAGATGATATCTCATTGTAGTTTTGATTTGCATTTATCTGGTGATTGGTGATGTGCAGCATTTTTTTTTCCTATAGCTGTTTGTTGGCCATTTGTATGTCTTTAAAAAATGTTTGTTCAGATCTTTAGCCCATTTTAAAATCAGATTATTTGTTTCTCTGCTACTGAGTTGTTTGACTTCCTTATATATTCTAGTTATTAAGCCCTTGTTAGATGGGCAGTTTGCAAATATTTTCTCCCATTCTGTAGCCTGTTCACTACACATTGCTTATTAAATCCTTGTTAGATGAATAGTTTGCAAATATTTCCTCCCATTCTTTAGTCTGTTCACAATCAACAGTCACTGTGTTGATTGTTTCTTTTGCTGTGCAGAAGCATTTTAGTTTGATGTAATCCTATTTGCCTGTTTTTGCTGTGGGTGCCTGTGCTTTTGAAGTCTTACTCAGGAAATCTTTTCTCAGGCAAATGTCCTGGTGTATTTCCCCAATGTTTCTACCAGTAATTTTATAGCGTCGGGTCTTAGATTTAATTGATTTTGATTTGATTTTTATATATGGCAAGAGATAAGGGTCTAGTTTTATTCTTTGGCATGTGGATGTCCAGTATTCTCAGTATCTTTAGTTAGAGACACTGCTCTTTCCCCAGTGTATGTTCTTGGAGGCTTTGTCAAAAGTGAATTGACTATAAATGTGTGGATTTATCTCTGTATTCCCTATTCTTTCCAGTTTTGTACATATCTGGTTTATGACAGTACTGTGTTGTTTTGGCTACTGTAGCTTTGTAGTATAATTTGAAGTCAGGGATGTGATTCCTCTAGTTTTGTTCTTTTTGCTCAAGATGGCTTTGGCTCATCTGGATCTTTTGTAGTTCCATATAAATTTTGCATTTATTTTTTCCATTTCTAAGAAGATTGTCATTTCTATTTTGATAGGGATTGCCTTGAATCTATCTGTAGGTTACTTTGGGTAATATGGACATTTTAACAATATTGATTCTTCCAATTCATGAACATGGCATGTCTTTCCATTTTGTGTCTGTGTGTCCTCTTCAATTCCTTGCATCAATATTTTATAGTTTTCATTGTATGAATTTTTCACTTATTCTAAGGAACACTTGTATTTCTGTTAATCAAACTAAAATTTTTGGCAATTATACAACACTACACCAAACAGCTGCAGAATACAGCTTCTTTGCAAGTGCAAATAGGCCTAGCAATCTCCCAGGCCTCTCCATGCCTGGGGAAACCCTTTCTCTTTACTATTTTCAGAATATGGATTATAGTTTTTTTCTTTTGGCCAGCTCAAGGGCACTTTCTATGGACAGGCCATATGAATTGCCTATTTTTAGTGATTCTGAAAGATCTAAATACTGACAGATATAAAACATTGATAAAAGAAATTGAAGAAGACACAAATAGAGAGCACTTGTTTATGGATTGGAAGAATTATTCTTATTAAAATGTTCATAGTATTTAAAATGATCTACAGGTTTGGTGTAATTTCTATTAAAGTTTTATTGTCATTTTTCACAGAAATAAAATAAAAATTATAAAATTTGCTTGGAACCACAAAAGACACTGAATAGCCAAGGCAATCTTGAGCAGAAAGAACAAAGCCAGAGGTATCACAATACCTGGTTTAAAAATATATTACAAACATATAGTAATCACAACAGCGTGGTACTGCCATAAAAACAGACAGATTAACCAATGGAACAGGATAGAGAACCCAGAAATAAATCCACACCTCAAGTCAAGTTATTTTTGACAAAGATGCCAATGGTACACAATGGGGAAAGGACAGTCGCCTCAATAAAAGATGCTGAGAAAACTGATATGTGGTGCTATGTTAACATTCAGAAGAATGAAATTGGACCCTTATCTCATACCATATGAAAATCAACTCAACATGGATTAAATACAAAAGCATAGGACCTGAAACTCTAAACTACCAGAAGAAAACAAAGGGGAAATCTTTTTGACATTGGTCTGGGCAATGATTTTTTAGATATGACTCCTAAAGCACAGGAAACAAGAGCAAAGATAGACAAACAGGGTTACATCACACTAAAGGAAACAGCTAACAGAGTGGACAGACAACCCACAGACTTATAGAAAATATTTGCAAAGCATACACATGATAAAAGAATAATATCCTAAAATATATAAAGAACACAAACATCTCAACAGGGAGAACATATACAAGTCAATTTAAAAATGGGCAAAGGACCTGAATAGACGTTTCTCCAAAGAAGACATACAAATGATCAATAGATTTATAAAGAAATAGTCAACATCAGTAATAATTAGAGAAATACCAATTAAGATAGCACCTCATGCCAGTTAGAATTGCAATTATCAAAAAGAAAAAATATATGTGTTGACCAGGATGAGGAGAAAAGGAAACACTTGTACTCTGTTGGTGGGGATATAAATAATATAGCCATTAAGGAAAACAATATGGATATCCCTCAAAAATACTAAAAGTAGAATACCATATGATTCAGCAACCCCACATCTGGGTATATATTAATAATAATTAAAATCAGTATGTTGAAGAAATATCTGCACCCATGTTCATTGCAGTTATTGACAATAGCCAAAATATGGCAGCAACCTAAGTGTCCATCAGTGGATGAATGGATAAAAACATGTGGTTGTCCTAGTTCATTTTGTGCTCCTATATCAGAATACCCAAGACTGTTAATTTATAAAGAACAGAGATTTATTTGCCTCACCATTCTGGAGTTTGAGAAATCCAAGGTGGAGAGGCCTGCATCTGGTGAGAACCTTCTTTCTCTATCATGCTATGCAGGAGGAAGGGCAAGGGAGCACAGGTGCATATATGAGAGGAGCTGAACTTGGTTTTATAGCTAAACCACTTTTCATGATAACTGTGACAGTCCATTCAGGACATGCATGATGGAAGCATCCTCAAGGATTAGTTCTCATGGTCTAATCAACTCTTGAAGGTGTCACTTCCCAACACTGTTGCATTTATTGGGTATTAAAATTGACACATGAATGTTGGGGGACACACTCAAACTATAGTGATTCACCCTGCCCCTGAAATTCACATCCTTCTCATAATTCAAAATACATTCATTTCACCCCAATAGCCCCCAAAGTCTTAACTTCTAGCATCAACTCAAAAATCTGAAGTTCAAATTCTAATCTTAAATCAGATGAGGGTAAGACTCTAGGCGTGGTTTATCCTGAGGCATATTCCTCTCCAGCTGTGAGCCTGTACAATTAACAAGTTGCATTGTTTTTTGGTGCTTCCAAAATACAATGGAGGAACAGGCACAGGATAGATATTCCCATTCCAAAAGAGAGAAATAGGCAAGAAGGAAGGGGTAACTGGTCTCATATGACTCCAAAACCCAACAGGGAAAAACAATACTGGCTTAAACCTGCAGAATAACCTCCTTTGACTCCATATCCTACATCGTGGGCATACTTGGGTGTAGGTTGAGTTCTGCAAAACATCAGGATTCTTGCTTCTTTCTGGTCTTAGTCCACCCAGCAGCTTTCACAGGTTGGAGTCTCATGCCTGCATCTCTCCCAGACTGAGGTTGCAAACTGGTGGCTTTAAAGTTCTGGGGCCTCAGGGTCTGCCCCACTCCCATGGCTTCACTAAGCATTTCCCTAGAGGGAACGCTCTGTATAGTCTCTCTTATGGCCTTGATGGGTTTTGCTGTAGTGGGAGCTCTCTGCAGTGGCTCTATCCCTGTGACAAGTCTCTGCTTGAGCTCCCAGGCCGTTGATGACATTATTTGAAAAAAATCTAGGTGGAGGTCACCATGGTCTGGTATCTCTTGTTTTCTGGAGGTTTGCAGAGTTAGCATTGTGTGGACATTGTCAAGGCTTACCACTTGTGCCCTCTGGAGAGGTGGTTGAGCCTCACCTGGGCCCACTTGAGTAATGGATGGGGAAGCTGAGAAGCACTGTGTCAGAAAGCAGAGTCCCAGGGTAGTCCTGGGCAGTGAACCTGTGGATCACACCTCAGGCCTGTTCTCTGAAACCATTCAGCCCTTCTAGAGCTCTGAGTCTGTGATGGGATGAGGGGAGAGGCATACTCAAGGATCTCAGAAATGCCTTCAGGGTCATTCTCTTGTTGTCTTCCTGGTTAAGCTGGATAGAACCTGGCTTTATTCTATCCATATTAATCTGTTTAGCAAACAGTTGCTTTTTTTTTGTTTTGAGATGGAGTCTCACTCTGTCACCGAGGCTGGAGTGCAGTAGTGTGAGCTTAGCTCACTGCACCCTCTGCCTCCTAGGTTCAAACAATTTTCCTGCCTCAGCCTCCGGAGTAGCTGGAATTATAGGCTCATGCTACCATGACTGGCTAATTTTGTATTTTTAGTACAGAAGGGGTTTCACCATGTTGGCCATGGTGGTCTAGAACTCCTGACCTCAAGTAATCCTCCCGCCTCGGCCCCCTAAATTGCTGGAATTACAGGTGTGAGCCACCGTGCCTGGTCACAGTTGCCTTTTTAAACATGCTTTTTTATTTTTTTACATAGCCATCCTGAAAGTTTGTCAAATCTGTCTGTTCTGCTTCTTCTAATGATAAATTCCATATTTAAATCATTTCCATTCTCATTTTACTATAAGCAGCCAAAAGAAGCCAGGCAGCACCTTGAACACTTTGCCACTTAGATATTTCTTCTGCCAGATATCCTAGTTCATTACTCTTAAATTGAGTCATGGATGGGGAAGCTGAGAAGCACTGTGCCAGAATGCAGAGTCCCAAGGCAGCCCTGGTCAGTGAACCTGTGGAGCACAGGATGTCTTCTACCTGGTCCTAGGACGCCAAAACAATTCCACTAAATTCTTTGCAAATGTGTAGCAAGGATGGCCTTTACTTCGTTTCCAGTACCTTGTTTCTCATTTCCACCTGAGGCCTCATCAGAATGAAGTTTAAGTCCATAATTTTATTGGTTTTATGATCACAACCACTTAAGTAATATTTAAGACGTTCCAGACTTTTTCTACACTTCTTCTCTTCTTTTGAGCCCTCACCACAATCTCCCTTAATGCTCCATTTATGACAATCTGGGACTTTTCTGCTTCTCCAAACTCTTGTAGCCCCTACCCATTATTCAGTTCCAAAGCTGCTTTTACATTTTTAGAAATTTGTTATAGCAATAGCTCCACTACTAGTACCATTTTTCTTCTTATTCTGATTTGTACTGTTAAAACAGAATGCTGACGACTGGGTAATTACAAAGAGACGTTTATTTGCCCTATGGTTCTGGATCCTGATAAGTTCAAGGTTGAGGGGCCCACATCTTGTGAGAGTTCCTTGCTGTGTTATCTCATAACAAAAGGTATAAGGACAAGAAAGCATACACAAGTACCAGAGAGGGGCTCAAACTCACTTTTATGACAAACCCACTATTCTTTTTTTTTTTTTTTTTTGAGACGGAGTCTCGCTCTGTCGCCCAGGCTGGAGTGCAGTGGCCGGATCTCGGCTCACTGCAAGCTCCGCCTCCCAGGTTTATGCCATTCTCCTGCCTCAGCCTCCTGAGTAGCTGGGACTACAGGCGACCACCACCTCGCCCGGCTAGTTTTTTTGTATTTTTTAGTAGAGATGGGATTTCACTGTGTTAGCCAGGATGGTCTTGATCTCCTGACCTTGTGATCCGCCCGTCTCGACCTCCCAAAGTGCTGGGATTACAGGCTTGAGCCACCGCACCCAGCCTAAATTTGCTAATTGTTTTCTATGAAGAATAATGCTTTTTAAATCTCTCTTTAAAGTACGATATTATGGGATATATAAAAATATACAACATTAATTTGTGTCATAACCGTATTTTTATATTTTAGGCACTCTGGTGGTGTAAAGGATTTTAGCGTCTGTAGCTTGGATGACTTTAAATATATTTCTTCTCATAATGGCCTTACATGTCTTCAGACAAACCCTCTTGAAATGCCAACCTACACACAAAGGAGAATATGTGGCAATGGATTGTTGGAAGGAGGCGAAGAATGCGATTGTGGCAATACAAACGTTAGTAGAATTTTTTTCTAAAATTTTAAAAATGTTCTAGTAGTAAAGAAGATAAATGCCTTATCTATTAGTAAAATATATTTGAAAAATATATTATTTGGAAAAGATAGAAGCCTTTGTTTTCTAATACTATTATTTTTGGAAGCATGGTCCTTAGATAATTTCTGTCTTTGGTTATTATCTTCTGACATTATTTAGTGTACGTATTAGTTCCAAACGTAAATTTAAATGCCATTAAGAGTGTCGAAGGGATTGAAAGAATATACCCTCAACAACAAGCAGAAATAAAAACAGACAACAACATCTAAAAACAGTAGATTATAACCAACAGGGTAGAAAAATGCATGGTTTGTTAATATAGGTAAAAACATTTTCTGTGGAAAGGTGATTCTAATTAAAATATTTTGAAATTAAATCTATCATAATTATAAAAAATATAAATATATACAACTAAGATCAAACAAAAATAATTATAAAATATGATAAAGGGACATCAGCAAGATGGCCCATTAGACAGCACTAGAAGTGCCTAATGCTGGTCTCCCACAAAACAATGGATAAACAACTACATTTGACCAGAGTGACTTACATAGAGTGCTATAGGAGAGGAATGCTATAGGAGTACAGGAGAGGAATGGCAAAAACCTAGTGGTGCACAGAAACTCAGAATGGCTGCCTAGAGAGAAGAAGGAAACACTATGGTTGTGGCAAGATAAACATGTGATGATAAATAACAAGAAGTAAAACTCAATCTGGCCTAGAAATATAGATTACTGGCAATCTTCAAAATAATAAAACTAATGAATCTTGCAAATCATTGACTACAAAAGTCAATATATAACAATGAGTTGGATTTCTGTGTAGAAAAAGCAAATAGAAAATGAAATCAAATGGACAATTCTACGTATAATGTTTCCCAAAACATGATATGTATAGATATAACAAAATACGTGCAATTGTGCACAATAAAAATTAACATTACTCAGGAAAAGCAAAAAACATTGAAATGAATGGAGACATATCCCATTTTCATGGATTGGGAGACATAATATTGAGATTTCAGCTCTACACAAATGGATCCATACATTTAACACAGTCCCAGCCAAAATCCACTTATCTTTTTGTAGAAATTGATAAGCTGATTCTACAATTGATATGAAAATGGAAATGACCTAGAATAAACCAAGCCATGAAAAGAAAAACAATAAATTGGAACATATATATTAATTTTCTATACATTTCAATGTTTTCTATGAAGTTATAATAATGAAGACAAGGTAGTATTGACCAAAGGATAAATATATACAATTAATAAAGTAGAACAGAGAATCCAGCTATAAAATGATTGTATATGGCCACTTTATATGATAAGACAAAGGGCTATTCAATGGGTGAAGAAAATCTTTCCAACAAAATTGTATAAACTAAACATATGTGTAAATAAAATAAAACTTCACATCTCACCATACACAAATAATTAACTTGAAATAAATTAAAGACTTAAAAATTAGAGTTAAAGCTAAAAAACTTTTGGGATAAAACATAGGAGACAATCTTTGTGGCTGGTGGTAGGCAAAATTTTTTAGATTATGGCAAAAAGAAGGAAGTTTAAAGAGAAAAATGATAAGTAGTGTTTTCTCAAATTTAGAACCCTTTTCACTTAGACTCTGATAAAAATAAAACGACAAGCTCCAGAATGTGAGAAAATATGTACAATTTATATATTGACAGGTGGCTTTTATTCAAATATGTGAAAAGACAAGACTTAGTTTCTGATCAGGTATCTAAGACACTTGGAAGTTGCCACTCCAATCTGTCAACAAGTGAAAAGGTGAACAGACTAAATAAGCAGCAACTCTTTTTAGGTCTGTTGGAGAAGTGAGATCACAGGATGAAGCACTGCCCCCAAATTCAATATATCAACAAGTGCATACAGAGAATCACAACTTGCTAGAACAGAAGCATGTGAGCTAAACTTTCACACAGACAGCACTGGAGTCGAAAAGCCTAAACGAAAACTGACAAATTGTCAGAGGCTCAGTGTATATAACTGTGAGAGTTAAAAACTCCAGGAGGACCCAGTTATTGAGGATGTTCTCATACTTTTATGAGCTTCACCTCTAGAAGTTTAATCTTGTTCTCACAGTGAATATCAGAGAAAAATTCCCTTGTGCTTCCAGAAGAAGGAGGAAAAAAGGAATCATTTTGAAATAAGCCAGAGTGTTCAGTTCTTACCAAAAAGAAATGGAAGGGAGAAATTAGGATTATTATGTTTTTATGAATTGCACTATCCCTGAAGTGGTATACTGTTATTTGAAAGTGGGCTTGGATTAGTTGTAAATGTATATTTTCATCTCTAGGGCCACCACAAAAAAAAAGTTTTAAAAAAGTATAACTGATACACTAAGAAAAGATAGAAAATAACATTATAAAATGCTTAGTTAAACACAAAAGGCAGGCTGAGCATCATGACGTGCAGCTGTAGTTTCAGCTACTTGAGAGGATGAGGTGAGAGGATTCTTTGAACCTAGAAGTTCAAATCAGCCTAAGCAACATGGTAAGATCATTTTTCTAAAAAGAAATAAAAAAGGAAAGAAAAAAAAAAAAAGACAAAAACAAGAAGAACCAAAGTCACACAAACAGAAAACAGCAATAAATATAGTAGTTATTAATTCAACTGTATTCATTATCACTTTGCTTTCAGTGATTTAAGTGCACCAATTTAAAAAATAAAAGAGATTGTCAGAATGAATCAAAAACCAAGATCTAGCTCTCTGTTGTGGTGGGTAATACTGAGTGTCAGATTGACTGGAATGAAGGATGCAAAGTATTGTTCCTGGGTGTGTCTGTAAGGGTGATGCCAAAAGAGATTAACATTTGAGTCGGTGGACTGGGAGAGGGAGACCCGCCCTCAATCTGCGTAGGCACCATCTAATCAGCTGCCAGCACAGTTAGAATAAAAGTAGGCAGAAGAACGTGGAAAGACTAGACTGGTTGAGTCTTCTGGCCTCCATCTTTCCCCCTGCTGAATGCTTCCTGCCCTTGAACATTGAACTCCAAGTTCTTCAGCTTTGGGACTCTTGGAACTTTGACCACAGACTGAAGTCTGCACTATCGGATTCCTTACTTTTGAGGTTTTGGGACTGAGACTGGCTTCCTTGCTCCTCAGTGTGCAGATGGCCTGTTGTGGGACCTCACCTTCTGATCATGTGAGTCAATACTCTTTAATAAACTCCCCTTCATATATACATCTATCCTATTAGTTCTGTCCCTCTAGAGAACCCTGACAAATACAGTTGTCTACAAGGAGCCCTCATTAAGTATAAACATACATGTGGATAAAAATTAAAGAATGGAGAAAAATATGCTATGCTAACAGTAATTAAAAAATCCAGGAGTAGCTATTATTAATTTCAGACAAGCAGTATGCAGAATGAGGAAAGTTTTCCTGGATAAAGGGGGACAATTATAATGACAAAGGGGTCAATTCCGTAATAAGACATAAAAATTTTCAAGTATATGTGGCTAACAACAGAGTGTCAAAATACATGAGGCAAAAATTTATAGAACTATAAGGAGAAATAGATTAATCTATTATTATAGTTGGAGACTTCAACACTCCTTTATCAGAAAAAGACAGATCCAGCAGACAAAAAATCAGTAAAGACATAGTGGAATTCAACAATAACTTTAACCAACTAGATATAATGGACATCTATAGATGACTTCATCCAACAACAAAAGAATACACATTTTTCTTAAAGTCATATTGAACATTCCGCAAGACAGACCATGTTCTGAGCCACAAATCACCACTGAACAAACTTCAAGGAATAGATACCATAAAATGTCTGACCTCAGACCACAATGAAAATGAACTAGAAATTTGTAACAGAAAGATTGCTGGAAAGTCCCTAATACTTGGAGATTAAAAATCACACTTCTAAATAACACATGGATTATGTAAGAAATATCAGGAGAAGTTTAAAAATAGTTTGAACTGAATAAGAATAAATACATAATTATCAAAAGCCATGGTATTCAGCAAAACAGTGCTCAGAGTAAAATTTATAACATTGGTTGCATGTATTAGAAAAGGAAAGAGATCTAAAATCAACAGGCTAAGCTTCCACCTTAATAAACCAGTAAAAGAACAAACTAAATTTAAGGTAAGCATAAGGAAAAAATAATAAAAATTAGAGCAGAAATCAATGAAACTGAAAACAATAAATTAATAGGTACAATGAATAAGATTAAAAGATGTTTTTTTTTGAAAAGATCAATAAAAGTAATATGCCTCTTACCAGACTAAGAAAAAAGAGAAATGACACATATTACTAACATCAGAAATAAAATAGAGCACATCATTACAGATGGGGTATTAAAAGAAACTATGAACAACGCTATGCCCACAAATTTTATAACTTAGATAAATTGACTAAATCCTTGAAATATAATCTGCCAAATTTAAACAAAAACAGACAATATTAATAGGCCTATATCCATTTAAGAAATTGAATAAATAATTAATAACCTTCCAGAAGAGAAAGCATCAGGCCCAGACAAATCTACAAATAATTCTACTAATCATGTAAAGACAAAACATATACCAATTCTCTATAGTCTCTTTTAGAAGATAAAAGCAAAGGTAATACTCTTTAACTTATTCTGTGAAGTCAGCATACTCAAATACTGAAAACCAAAATGAAAGCCTTACAAAGAAAGAAAACTACAAAACAATATCACTCAAAAGCATAGAGACAAAAATACCCAACAAAATACTAGCAAATACATTCCAACAATGTATAAAAAGAATTGTACAATACAATCAGGTAGGATTTATCCCAAATGTGCAAGGCTAATGCAACATTTGAAAATCAGCTAATGTAATCCATCACATCAACAAAGTAAAGGTGGAAAAATTATGTGATCATATTAATAGATGCATTAAAAGTATTTTATAGAAGCTAACAATCATTAATGATAAAAACTCTGAGTAA